TCCTTTAAAAAATATTTTTAAAAACCTATTTTTAGTTTTTTTTTTTTTGCATAATCTTTTCCTTTATTCTAGATTACAAGTAAACATATCAAATGTCTTAGAGCTAGTACTGCTAGATTGTCAGTATAGGTACTTCCATAATTGCATCAACTTAAATCATTTTGTTACAAATGTTTAGCTGAAATAGGATTTTATTTATATGATTCAACTGGATGCATATGTTGTTGGGGATAAACTGGTTGTCTAATGTTTTTTCAACATGCAAATGGTGCAGATAGTAGATAATAGTTTATTCTCATAATGAATTACAAATTTCACCTTAATTTTATTATATATTTAAAGTTGTTGCATTTACTTTTTGTAGTATATTAATTTATATTGTAGCATTTGCCTAACATTGATTTAGTATGTTAAAGACTTATTTGGATATAGAGTTGATTTGTTGGAGTTACTAGTTTATGATTTTTAAATTCCTAAGAAAAAAAGCCTTTGAAGTGGTAGACAGTGTACTTTAAGTCACTTCTCTTCCCACAGAGCCCGCCCAAAGGAGGTGAGAAGGGCATGCTGCATGGCAGTAATGCTATGATGATGATCTTAGCCTACTAAAATGCCATTTACAATGCCTGGTGACTTACACTGAACAAAACATGGTGTCCTTAGAATTTCACTGCAAAAGCATGTGACTCACAAAAGTTAACTGGCAAAAAGGACTGGTGTGTGTTGTGGAGTTGCTCTGAGTGATCCTAGGGAAAGCTCAGTTTCACAGACTTCACGGGAAAATCTGAAGGGCTTTCATTGTGAGGGTAGAGGACTTCCTCATAATTCAGGCTACATGAACATGTCCACAGAAGCAGTTCTTACTTGTACTCATTTGCCCTTTCATCAGTTTGGTAACAGAAGGGTAAATGTCACTGTAAAAGAAAAAACTACAGAATAACTGTTTTTGATAGTACCTGACCAAAAAAAATCCCATATTTTCTAATACTTAGCAGTAAAGAAAAGAATATGGTGGAGTCCTCAGAAGTCTAATGTATCATGCAAGACATCACTTGTGGTTATTTTAGTGATCTACAGCGCTGTCTTTATTGACTGAAAAATGCCTGGAAACTTCAGGTGGAATCTTAAACTCTCCCATCAAGACTCTTGTGTACCAAGGCAGTTTTAGATAATTTGGCTCTCCATGGCTGCAAGACTAGCTTGTCAACAGATAATACCTAAAGTTCAGGGGCTAGTGAACTTCAGATGCATACAAGAAATGCCACTTCTGTTCTGGAAGAGTACTAATTAGACTTGTTTGTGCAATTTGTGCAATCTGGCTTTGAGACATTGGCAAAAATAAATATTTGAGCTCTCCTAAGTTTGGTAAACATGGAGTAGTAGGTCTCGCATCATGGGGTTCCTCTGTACAACTCCAGTGTGATCTCATGCCACCCTCTGAAAAACTGCCTCAGTTTGCGTGAAGGACTTAACCTCTCCAGAGTGCTTTTTGTTCTGCCTTTTGGCTGGCAAATCCCTTCACAATTTTTAGCTCTAAACACTTCCTTCGAGGAAGCCTACCTTGATCCCTTAGGGTGCTAGGTTAGGTTTCCAGTCCATATTCTCAGAGCACTCTGTATTTTTTAGTTCCTTAAAGCAACTATGTATATAATTATTTTTAGAATCTTTATCCTAATCCTGTGTGTGGCACATAGCTAGGTCAGAAAATATCTGAATAACAAAATTAAGATTTAATAATTGGTTATAAAAATGCTGAAATATTTGAAGCAACAAATCTAAGATTAATGTCACATTTCAGTTATATAAAATCAACTTACACATTCTTTTTGTCTACAAATTACCAATTTTTGGAATAAAGGAAATACTGGTCTTGGAATTAAAACCTTAAGGATCTTTTGAAGCCAGAGCTGATGCTGTGTCATCAGTCATGATAGCATTTTCTTTGTGTTCAGTTTCTAAAGAAATTATTTCAGAACTTCTATTAACTATTTTAAAGTAGTTAGAGGGTTAGAAATGATACCAAAAATTTAAAGCATATATGGTTCTATTGTAAAAATTTGGATTTTAATGTGGTTTTAGATGAGTGGTTTTATGACGCTGAGGGAATTTTTAATCCCATTCTTAGCAAATCTGTTTTAAGTGACAGTTATTATAGATTGCAGATAAGGAAATGTAAGGTTATATCAATGTCAAAAAGCTTTAGTATTATCACTTACAATTTTTAACTTAGCAATGTTTTAAAATTTAGGTATATGTCGTTGAGGAATGTAAGTAGTAGTAAAATCTTGTGTTACAAGATTTTTGCATTTACATGAACTTTCACTCATTTTTCAGAATCTGTTCCTAGAGACAGAGAACCCAATACAAAAATGAGAACATGTATGCATAATGAGAAGGATGCAGTGCAAATGCCTAGTGAAACTCTGAAAGCAAAAATGGTACCTGAGAGAGTTCCCCGCAGATGTGCTACTGTTGCTGCAAATAAAATAAAGATAATGAGTAATCTAAAAGAAACGATTTCAGGACCAGAAAATGTCTGGATTAGGAAGAGTAGCAGAAAACTGCCCCATCGAAATGCTTCTGCTGCGGCTAAGAAAAAATTACTGAATGTTTATAAAGAGGATGATACAACTGTAAATTCTGAAAGTGAAAAAGAGCTAGAAGATATTAATACCAAAAAGCTTTTTTTAAGACGGTTCAGATCCTGGAAAGAAAAAGCACAATAGCGACTATGAGAATGTAGAAGTGGTGTCTGAAAACAATCGGGCCACAAGTAAACTGGCAGTTGCATTCTGCTCCTAGCTCTAAAGTCAATTCCTTATTGGCATCTTTCAAGGAATTTTCTAAAAGCCATAATCCAGTGGGTCAAAGTGGGAGGAAGGCTTCCTCCCCATCAGCTCTTGTACCGACAGCACTACGGGGAATTTTGAGGAGGAAATAGATTGTGGAGCCTGTAGTTGGAGAGGTGGAAAGAAAGGACACATGGCTTGCTATAAGATTACTGTTTCTTTTCAGAAAGCAAGGGCCTTGAAGAAATCTCTTGATTCCTTAGAAGAAGAAAATAATGGGAAGTGTACAGGGTATGTAGGGAAAACGCCAAGGACTGAAAAGATGTCAAAATCTCAACCTGATGCTAATTTTAAGGGTTCTCCATTAGAGTATAAAAATTTAGCATCATGACTATGGTGTCATTACTGAAATCAGAAGGAAAAAAAATTGGGCATATTTTCAAAGGAAGTGCAGTGAGCCTATTTGACTTTTGAGTGAAGCAAAAACTTTATCCAGATCCAGTCCCTATAATTCACATCCCAAAGGTCAAAAACAATTTAAACTAGAAGGACCAGGGGATTCAAGGATGGGGATATTGAGTTCTGAAGTAGTGTTGGAAATGGGCAATTAGAGAAAGTCCATTAATGTCTTATTTTGTTTATAATACTGGAATTCATAATGATGACCACTTGATATGACTAATTCAGGGAATATATATTTTTCTATGAAAGGTATGAATGTGACAGCTTTTCCTTATTTCTACTTTTACGTAGCAGCATTTACAGAAATGCCAAAATGTGCCTCACTAAGAGGCAGGTCTTAGAAAATAGAAAGTATAACTTAAGATCAAAACAGTCATATTTTTAGATGATACAGTGAAATCCTCTCATTTCTCTATAGCACCTTAAAAGTTAGAACTTGAACACTTTGAGCAAATTTACTGCAGTCTCATCCCAACATACTTTAATGGCAGCATGTCTGGTCCATTTCACTGTGGCCTTTGCTAGGATTAGAAAACCTGGTCGTGGCACAAATAAAGAATTTATTTGCAATGAGGTTTAATTTGTTAATAGGTATGTGTTGAAATTAAGATTAAATGAATGTATTGTCAAATCTTTATAACATAGTAACGTGTTATTGGAAAAAAATAGCAAGTTTTCCCATTTAAAATCTGTGAATATTAATATATGATTTGCATGTATAAATCTGAAAAAGTAAACTATAGAAACCTAAAGGTTTCTATTCCTTTTTTATTAAGTCTAATGCATATTTTTTGGTTATACAGATGGACCAAGTGTCTAGATTACTTGAGAAATTTGTGTGTGGTTGCATGTCTGTTTTAAAAAAGGTTTTATTTGTGTGGATTTTCTTTCTTTTTTTTTTTTTTTAGCGCATAAGCCAGAATATTCTAACCTACAGAGTCTGTGTCCTTTGCTCTCTTTGTAGTATACTTTCATCTGAAATACTGCTCCCCAGTATCTTGTGTTACTAGTACAGGTGAGAAAGGGGAGAATTCCTAATAAACTATTACTTTTAGATGCATGGGGTCTGATTTTTGAGTTCTAATGAAATGCTTAAACTTATTTCCAGTTCTAAATTTACACTTAATTTACAATAGAAATTTCTTGTTGGGTATACTATATCAACAAATACCATAAAGTGAAAATATTTAAGTCTCAGTGAAGACTATTTTATGCAAAGTTTTTTGGCAATTTCAGTGTAATGAAAGAATTTAAGCTTTGAATTTATAATTTACTGTGGTGGGGTTAATTTCTGTTAGTATTTGCGATTGTATCATCAGTTTTTTATAATGGAATCCCTGTTCTGGCTTAGTGTTTAATTTGAACATATATTTGCCTTTATTTTTCTAAGTGCCTGGCCTAAATTTACTGTAACTGCATGAAATAAGCATTTGTTTAAAATTTAACATCCTTGTAAAACTGTTCTCTCTGAAATGTATGCAGAATTTAAATCATGGCCAAATGTATTATCATTACCTACTATTTACTCTAATTTTAATCAGCTTTGCAGAAATATTTCTTCATAATGGAACTGTGAAATCAAATTGAAGATCTTACTGGTAAAAATGGCAAATTATTTAACAAAAGACTAAGACAAGTGATGCCCAAACAACCTTTTTATTCTGCAATTATTATATTAGACCAATTAACCCGGGAGTCCTAATGTAGTTTTAAAATATCGTATTGTTAATCTGGTATATTCTGTCTCATTAAGGATACCCAAAGTTTCCTAAGCTCTTACTGGCTAGCAATTTGGTCTTAATTTGTTTATTCTTAAATGTTCAAATTTTGTTTCAAAACCCAAACCCAAACATTTTTTTTTCTGCAATAGATGTGTAAAATTGCTAAATACTGATTTTATGTAAGTGATTTTGTGGATCATTATTTCTCCACATCTTAAAACAAGATGTTTCTAGCAACTTTGAGGTTCCCCCCCCAAATCTCAAGAGGCTCCCTCTAACCCCGTAGTAGAATTTACCTTTGCGACTACTGACAAATTCCCCAAATGCAGGCAATGCTATGTATTTCAGCACAACTAAATAGGAAACTCTTTTCTTATTGCAGTACTGGTTATTTTCATTTTCAGTTAAGTTATGGTAGTTTTCCCCTTTAGCTTGGGCTAGTGCTCCTTGAACTCTGCCTTCCAACACATTTTAAAGAAAACCAATGCAGAAACAATCACTTATTAATGAAAGGCTATTTAAAAACGTCTTTGTATTACAAATGGCCAAGTTTAAAAAAGAGCAAACTATTTTTACATTCTCATAACAATGTTTTTTAGATAAGCTTGACAATCATCAGCTTTTGAAATGTGAATTCCTATTGCCAGAGTAAAGGTCTCAGTTTTATACCACCACGAAGCACTGTATTTCTTCCTGCCCCCTTTCATCCGCACTGTGTCCACTGTCCCCAGGACACGCCTAGCCCCTACATCGGCGCAGGGCCGCGGGGCGCCAGGTGCAGCTGTTCGCCCTCATCGGCCTGTGAGCCCTCAGCAGAACCCCAGGGCCGCCACCTACCTGGGTCGTCGATGTTTGAAGGTGCTTAAGAGCAAAGTTCACCCCGTCACTCCTAAAGAAGGAGAAGGGAAACGGAGAGAAGGCGGGAAAGGCCTGCGATTTGTACTCTTTCCAAAGCGCTCCAGACTGGGGGAGAAGGTGGCTCAGTCCCTCCGTTTCCCGGGTCAGTTACCTGCAGGGATAAGAGGCCCCGCCCGGCCCCCACGGAACCCGCCCTCCAGCTCGCTTCCTGCCCTTCTAGCCCGCAGTCCGCCTGTGTCTCGCTCTCCCCGCGGGGCTCACACGGGGTGAAAAGGAGCTGGGATTCCGCGGCCACAGGGGTCCGGCGTGGTGCAGGGGCGCGCGGCGGCGCGCGCTAGTCGTGCGGGGGGAGTGGCCGTCATGTGGGCGGGGCCCCGCCCAGGGGCGCGTGCGCAATCCCCCGGCGCCGCAGTTGGGGCGGGCAAGTCAGGGGGAGGCTATGGCGGCCACGTTCTTCGGAGAGGTGGTGAAGGCGCCGTGCCGAGCCGGGACCGAGGACGAAGACGAGGAGGAGGAGGGGAGGCGGGAGACACCCGAGGACAGGGAGGTCCGCCGGCAGCTGGCTCGGAAGAGGTGAGGCATCTGGGCGCGGGAAGCCGCCGGCGGCGCGCTCGGGCCTGACCGGCCCCCGGCGCCCGGCCTCCCGCCGGAGCAAAGTGCGGGGGCTCCGCCGCCCCGACGGAGCCCGAGCCCGAGGCCGAGGAAGCTGCGCGGCCTTCGCAGCGCGAGCCCCGAGCGGCCGTCCGCGGCCGCCGCCTGTCCGCGGCCCCGCCCGGGACACAGCACGCGAGGCAGGTGCCCGCCCGCCCCGGCTCTCCGCGCATCCTCGAGGCGTCGGCGCCACCCCTAGGTGTGTTCGGTGTGCGCGGTGCTCGCTCCCTCTGCTCGTGTTTCGGTGGGATCGTGAGTCTGAAGCCGTTGTGGGGGAGTTGGCTTCAGATTTGTCCTTTAAAAATACTGCCTCCAAGGCTTCCTTTAGCATGTCCGTAGTCTCGGTTTCAACTTGAGTGCAGAGTTTATGGGGAACTGTCACCTGACCCGCTGATCAGTCACCCTTAGCATCCCACTGGGCATGAAATGCAATAAGAAACAGAAAGTACCACTTCAAAGCATTCTTGCCGACAAAATATTGAATGTGAATCTGACCAAGCCTCCAAAATAAACATTCTTTTACAGGAAATGCAAATGATGGACACATGTTAAATGATACCACAAGGAAGCTATCACACAAATCCAGAGTGGGACACAGGACAGGACAACCAGTCTGTCAGCAGGGATAAAAGAGGAGGGAGGCTGCTCTAAATGAAATGAGATGTCTAATTTCATTTAACATGCAATAGTTTCATCTGTTGGTTATCATTGCCTGAATCCATTTTTTAAAGGATTGTAATTATGTTCTTCATAAAATTAAAGTGAATGTTTTACCTATTACAGAATCATACCCATAGGGCCCTTTTGTCATAATATGATACTAATTATGTTTAAGTTGCTTTAGTTTCATCTTGTTTCTTGTATTAGGGAGGTGCGGCTCCTTCGAAGACAGACAAAAACATCTTTGGAAGTTTCTCTGCTAGAAAAATATCCTTGCTCCAAGTTTATAATTGCTATAGGAAATAATGCAGTAGGTAAGTGAAGATGCAGAAGACCAGACATTTTGTTGAAAGAACAAAATATGAAGTTATTATTTCCTTCCGTCATAAAAAATTTCAAGTGTTTATTACTTTAAAAAAGAAGTTACAAACCAGGAGGGAGGAGGATATGGGCAAAAACCTACCTAATGGGTATAGTGAACACTATCTGAGTGACAGGCACACACAGCCATGACTCAAGCGTTATAAAAGTGATCCATGTAACCAAAAATATTTGTACCCTTGTAAGACTTTGGAAAAAAAATATGGTTCAAAGGCCAAAAAAAAAAAATCAATATAAAAGAAGTCGCAGTAGAGTAACTTTGTTTCTGAGTAAAATATATCTCCTGATCATGTACCATCTTTTTAATAAGCTTAAAAAATAAGATTTAAGGAAAATGTTCTTGGCTTCAGAAACTTGCACCTCAAAAGAACTGTTTCTAGTGTGTTGAGGTATCCAGGTTTACTTAGATGTTTGTGAGTTAGTAGACTTCTTTGAGAACATAATGAGAACTCTAAAAATGATAATAATCGCCAACATTTTTGAGCACTTAAGTTCTGAGGTCTTTGCACGTGTTTATTCACTTGGTGGGTGAAAGTTAAAACAGTATATAGAGTTCAGCTAGGACAATGTACATGCACAAGTATACCCATAGACTTTTATATTTTTAGGGGATTCACAGGTTCTTAGGAGAGCGTTGGGGAATCCCAGTTAAGCTTATTGCTGTATTGAGATACTCTTAATGCTTGTAGAACATAGTATACATGGTAAATAATTATTGACTCATTTTTGTAAAGTTATACTGGCCTAAATTTTTTAGAAGAGTGTTACACTGTGAGAGTATGGTAAAAAGTCTTGTCTACAAACTTGTCTTCTCAATTCCTGGCTCTAGTACTATTTTACTAAGAGTGTGGCCTTTCATTTCTTGAGGGCCTCACTTTCTTTTTCTGCAAAAGGTGGTATTGGGTAGAGGGTCTTGAATGGCACTTTTGGCTCTGAAATACTAGAGTAACTTGAGTTTACTTTTTATTGAATAGAAAATGCAGCGTATAGAGCCAAACACTAACTTAATGTGAATTTTTTTCACAGCATTTTTATCATCGTTTGTTATGAATTCAGGAGTCTGGGAAGAAGTTGGTTGTGCTAAACTCTGGAATGAATGGTGTAGAACAACAGACACTATACATCTGTCCCCTACAGAGGCTTTTTGTGTGTTTTATCATCTAAAATCCAGTCCTTCGGTAGGTAGAACTTGTATGTTTGAAAAGTAGTAATTTAAGCATCACTTATATAGTAGCTACTGGTAGTATACCTCAGGATCTCATATGCCAAGTCTCTTGGTTGCTCTGTTGATGTGCACTTTATTCTGATAATAATTGCCAGTAGTGGTTTGACTTTTAAATTGTAAAAAGAAATGAAAAGGCCAATAGCAGAGTCAGGAAAATAAGTATTTTATAATATTTTATATTGTATAAGTGTTATATTAGGATTCACATAATACATGCTGACATTTCAGGGTATGTATAAAGTTTATTTGACTCAACAAAAAACTTGAAATTTGACTTTTCAGGTTTTCCTTTGTCAGTGCAGTTGCTATGTTGCTGAAGATCAACAGTATCAGTGGTTGGAAAAGGTAAGAAATGAACACCTCTGAATGGTTAGACTACAGGATTTGTGTTTTTTTAAGGGTTCAGTATCTTTTCACTGAAACCTATATAGTCAAACATTGATGTGAGAGAGGAATTTTTTTTCTTAAAACCATCATAGGAGTTTGTTATGGAATTAAAGAATAAAAGAACTTACTTAACATGATGAACCTAACAAATACAATCATCATTGTGCTAAAGGTTATAGGTCACAGAAGTATGAAACACCATTGGATTCTTCCCACTCACTTTAATAGTTTGTTTGAAAGACATATAAGCTCCCCACATGGAACAGAACGATGTCACAGCCAAAGGTAAAAACCCACAGTGATGACAATGCAGGTGGGCAGACGCATGGGGAGAGGAGGCATGGCACAGGTGTGCTGCTTGCTCCAGGCTCCAAAATATTATACTCATTTTTCTTAGCATTAGACATGAATAGATTGAGACTTCATTTTGGGGGGAAATTGTGCACATAGTATGTGCCCAATAAAACAAATTTTTGAGTGAAGAATTTAAATTGACTAGAAATTTTAGAGAAAAATAATAATTTGGGCAGTTGCATATAATTTTTAAATGAAGCAGACCCTCGAGGCCTTATTTGAAGTTGGCACACTTAGACACATTTACTAAAAGTTATTAAATGTATTTCACTAAATGAGTTGTTTAAGAAAATCTGTTAACCAACTTATAATTACATACATGATTTTATATTCACTGTATCTCTGTAATTTTCTGGGGAGCTGGTCAGCTCTAAGAAGGTTTGGAAGTTGCTGTTGTATTTTTAATTTATGTAGCATGACTTATGTCAGAAATATTTTTGTACTATGAAACAAACATATATTCTAGACTTGAAAAAATGTAAAATTATGCATTTCCAAAACAAAATTTTTAATCAGCATTTTTTTGCCTTACGGGTACTCTTTGGGTCCACGTGCTGTTTCAGTCATGTCAGCCACATAATCCTGATAATTACACACAATCTAACAGAGTTCTCAAGTATTGTGGATTCAGATTATAAGTTTTTATAAGGAGAAAAATAGGTTTTGTGAGTAATGTTATATTTCTTAAATGGTGTATATCTGGTAACTTATATATGGTTAACCTTTTTATGTTTATTTACAAAGTTATGATACAATGAAGTCAGTCTTACAAATCACTTATGGTACTTAATATAAAATCTTTAGCTCTGTTGTTATGCAAAATAGCCACTTTTATATCTTCATGAAATATTTTCAAACAAGGTGCAGTAACCTAAAATCTACTCTTTTTTTTTTTCTTTAAAAAATAGCTGCTTTCTTTGTTTATGTCCCCTTAGATTTTATTAAAAGGTAAAAGGGTTCTTGGAAATCTATCACATCCAGACTCTTCAAGTTATAGAAGAGGACATTGAGGTCTAGAGTGATTGAAACTTGTATACAATTATAGTAACTCAAAAAGTGAGTTTCATGGGAATCATTTTTCAGGTATCTTTGGTGGGTGGGAGAGGAAATGAATGTCAGGTGTGTACTGGTGACTCACTTCCTCTGGACAGTAGTTGTGTAGTCACTGCTCTGGTGCTCTTGTGATTTCATTTACCTCACATCACAGGCCCCTGATGTAGGTGGTGCTGACCTTAGTTCCCAGACTTGGAGAAGGTCACCCAACCAGAAAGCAGGACCAAGGTCAAACCCAGGTCAGGGCGGCAAAGGATGTGTTCTGTTTCTCCGTGGCACACTCCCATCCCTGCAGCATATATATAGTCTTATTGTCTGTGGTGTTAGGTGAGTAACTAGAGGAATGTTTCCATTCTGTAACAAAACTATATGTTGTTGTAATTTGAAATCAATTTTGTCTTAGGTTTTTGGCTCTTGTCCAAGAAAGAACATGCAGATAACTATTCTCACGTCTCGCCATGTTACCGACTATAAAACCTCAGAGTCTACTGGCAGCCTTCCTTCTCCTTTCCTGAGAGCCCTAAAAACACAAAATTTCAGAGACCCTGTATGTTGTTCACTGCTAGAACAACCAAATATCGTACATGATCTTCCTGCAGCAGGTGGTGTTAAAATTCATAACATTTACATTATATCTTGTTATTGCTTTATTGATACTTACTAGTTTCACTGTCAGAGATCTTTTTATCTCTTTTGGTAGTTTGTTAATGATGATTGATACCAATATATTGCTGTTAATCCTCAGTGTCTGTAGTTACAACTACAGTGTGTTTGGTTTGAGTTTTAAAATTTTCCAGACACATAATTACCTTATGAGCAGCTCAGGTTTCTTAACTGTTATGCTTCAGAGTTGCACTGTTTCTTTTTGGTCTTTGATAACTCTAAATGCAAGTCAGTGTTAGATGTAAATTGTTGATATGTGAAAAGTTGGTAAAATATGTTTTAATTATCAAAATAGAAAGTTCTGAATACTGAATGTTGATAATTGGCTTAATTTTTTTTATTACTGTCACTAATTATATCCTACCATCAGGTGAAAAATAGATTGCCATTTATTTTTCAGTGTTACTGTGTTAATATAACACTTTTTTTCTTGCCTTTAATGTTAAGTTTACTAGAGTCAGAAGTGGCTAAATATTTTACATTATGCATTATGTATTTATTTGTTATTTACATGTATTTACTGTGTTTATTATAGTCAGTAAAATTTTAATCTTTCAGCTACTTAAAATCGTCTCCACATTATGTTCAGGATATGCAAAATAAATATAATGTTTGCAAAAGCAGGAGATTATTAGGAAAATAAGTTGGTTCTGAAAGAAAATATACATAATAATTGGTTCAGAATGGCAGTAAATGCCTCGATTAAAAGAGGCAACACATGACTACTTTTAAAAGCAGCCTTTATTATTTAAAGCTATTTCATTTAAAAATCATATAATAGAAAACTTAAGTGTTTTTTTTCTTGTATATCCATAGTTCTGAGTTACTGCCAAGTATGGAAGATCCCTGCAGTTCTGTACTTGTGTTATACTGATGTGATGAAATTAGACCTAATTACAGTTGAAGCTTTTAAGCCTATACTTTCTTCCAGAACCTTGAAAGGTTTGGTTAAGGTAAGGTTTTAACTCATTTAAATTAAGTTATTATAATGAACCTAATAACAAACATAAATGTATGGTGTCAAATTAAACCGTAAGCAACACTTGGAGATCCTTTTTTCTTAAAGTAAAGCTTCCTAATCTGGCAGTTTGAATTTGATTGTGATGTTTCTTCCATGTATTCTTCCATAACTTGACAAATGTTTTGTTCTTGTGTAGTAGATTAATGCAGTGCAATTAACTCTCAGATGTCTGTGTGGACAGATGGTTTTACTGTTCAAGAAGTTTCTGTAACTAATTTGGAAAGTTATAATTTTTGAAAAGGCATTTTTGAGTTTAGTATGGATGAAATTATTATAACATTTATTTACCTAAGTTTGCAGGGGACTAGAAATGTGAAGATGAGAGAATTATATAATGAACCTGTTTCCTGCCCTTAGTTTATATCTGTGGGCTTATTTTCTAGAAAAATTAGAACACATCCACAAAATATTTTGCCTGTAATTTCAGGTAGTTTAGGGACTCCCCTACTTTTTCTAAGGTTTTCTGAAAGTCCACAGCCCCCAGTTTAAGGACTTATTTAAAGGAAAGAGGTTATAACAAGGAAAAAGGTTTTAACATCCCTGTTTATTCTCAAGTGACCATTAATGTTAAGAAGACTTTTATAAGTTTAGTAGGAGTTAGCTTATTTCACAGGTTTCATAAATGAGTTTCTTACTAATTTAAGGAGATTTTTAGCTCCTTTTGGTAATGGACCATGTTTTTTTATTTTGGTATCCCAGGTTCACCACATACCTGGCGTTTAGAAGAAAGCTTTCAGTAATTATTTGTTAAATTAATGAAGAGTAAATCTGTAAAACTCTCGAATTTAGTATACTTCAGGCATATCTTTCAAATTAGCTAGAGTCAGGGATACTCTTTCTGACACATTGAGTTATTTTTTGTTTAGCATCCCATTCATAGTACAAACTAATAGTTTTGTTTGCTTATGTAGTTAGCTGATTGGCTCGTCCTGCTTAATTTAGCAGCCAGTGGCCTGAAGGCAGGGCTGGGGCCGTCTTGTTCACTGCTCTGGGACTGGGCGCAGCACGCAGGCACTTCATAAGCCTTTGCACTTATTCTGAGAATGGTAAATCACCTGTCATGTAGGGTTCAAGGAAACTTTCAGCTTTTATGAATATCCTTTGAAGGGGAAATTTAAATGACATTTTTACTGTTTTCATCTCTTGCTTTGAAGATGATTTGTGGGAGGGTGAGATGGTCGTTCTGTAAAGTGCTGTTTTCTTAATGACCAAATCCATTATCCTGAGTTAGTTCATCGATTGTGTCCATTTGTTTGTTGAGCAACATGGAATAACCTTGAGTGCCTCCTACAGGGTCGCACTGTGGGGCTCCCAGAGCTGAGTCAGCTCCACGGCTGGGAGGTGGTGCAGGTGGTCGGTCGCAGTGCCCGGCACAGTGAAAACAGCACCGTGCTGCATGACACCAAGGGGAGCAAGAGGTTAACTTAAGGAATGGCTTCTCAGAGAAAGGGGGAGTTTAGCTAGATTTGAAAGATGGACGAATCTTAGATGTGGAGAGGGAAGCAGTGAGCACAGAGTGGGAAGTTTGAGGAGAGCGGTGAGGAGTGTGGTATGACGGACAAGGGGGGAAGAGATCACGCGGGGAAGATGAGCTGGGTTAGAGCCTAGACTTCCTTCTGAGGCCGGGGGCGCCGTCAGAGGGTTTCGGGCAAGGGCAAGGCACACTGACACGTGTTACCTCGTTGGCTTTTGTTTGGAAGAGGAAAGGAAAGACTGCGCTGGTTCCGCTGGTGCTGTCTTCTTTAAGTCTCGACAGGTGGGGATTGGGGCGTTTACATTGCCTCTGCCTGAATTCTTGCTCTCACTGTATTCTTCGCTTTTCTCTCTTTTTCCAGAGTATCCCCCAGAGCACAGAAATACTGAAGAAATTGATGACAACAAATGAGATTCAGAGTAACATTTATACATGATCCCAAAGAATGTTTTGCGATGTATGTTACCTGTCCGTTCCTTTAAGGGGAGCAGTGTGCACTGTATTTTAGGTTACTTCTTTTGGGGGGGTGTATTTTGAGGGTGACAAAACAGAATAAACCTGTGAAAAGTTAATTGTAGTTTTAATTCCTTATTTATGGTGGTATTGTTCACAGCTGAAATAAGCCACACATTTTTCTCTTATCCACTAGGTGGGGGTATTATATTATTTGAATATTTTAAGGTAATACGTTAAATTTTTGAAAAGCTACAGATAACAAGATGTATTAATATGGCAAAGTGTAGTTAATTAGGGGTAAATATCCGTTGACGTGTTGGTGATTCTTAATATGTGGAAAGTTTCTGGATATTTTAGGAGTTCTACAGTTTTTTGTTTTGGGGATAAAAATTGATGACAAGGTAACAAAGTTATATATTTGCTCAAGATGAAACAAAAAGGGATTTGTGTGCTCTCACTTTTTAGAAGTATCTGGCAGCTAGCCTCTTCACCAGACTTTCCCAGGGCTCTCTTGCAGGGTTAGCTGTATGGATTATGACCACTTCTATTACAGTAAAGTCTTACCATTAGCAATGTAAACTGCATCGTAAACCCAAAGTAACCACACACTAAACTGCATTCGTTAAAATAAATTTTAAAACGGTGAAGTTGAGAAATACGTCTTATCTGTGCTGCTTTCTTTTTTCTCGTTTTTAGTTATTGAATCATACATTATAGATTTAGACAACTTATCCATTTATGTTTTCTTGGCGGTGGTTGGAGGCGGGGTAAGGGATACTCTGTTTTCTAACTCCTTGAGTAAACTTGGTTTCCTTTGTATAAAGTTTTGGAAGTCTTGTGCATGGTGCATTTGTGAACATATCCAGTGGTAGAAGTCAAAGGATTTCCTTCATTAGAAAAGTTTGCATCCATTCAGAAATGTGTTTGCAGAGCCCTAAGTAAGTGTAAGACTTGGGATCGGATCCCAGCTGGAGGTAGAGCCCCTTCCTGTGCTGAAGGTGAGCGTGGCAAGGAAGGGAGAGTGATGTTGGAAGAGCAGACTATGGTCAAATCTCAGGTCAGTGCTTTGGGCCACGTGACCTCGGGCAGATGCCTTAAAGTTTCCTGAGCACTGGTTTCCTCATCTGTAAATGGCAGGTAATACTAGGGACAATACTTCACTCACTGGGTGGTTATTTCACATAAGTGTGCAGTGAATGTCACTTCCCTTCCACTTTTCTTGAGTTTCAGTTTTTCACCTGCTTAATGAAGAAGATTCTCTCTGCTTGCTTTGTTGGGTTGTTATGAGAATAAAAATATAAAGATGCTTTTGAAGAACAGCGGGATGGTATTTCCATGTTCACACCTTCGTATCCCTCATCTCAAAGACACAGACTTGGTGACATGGAAAGCAGGAGCAGCAGGCGCTGCTTTGGCCGCCCCGGAGCTCCCATCCTGTGTTCTCTCAGTGCTTCCTCGTGCTGCCTTCAGAACCGTGCGTCTCGGCATCAGAAAGTGTCGAGGAGTGGAAGAGCTGCGGAGCAGTTTCTCATCAGGAATAATCTTGGAAAAACCATGGAAGCAGATAACTCTGGGCATTGTAGTTGTTCATACTTTTGGTAAGGAAAGAATCACAGTTGCCGCAGACTGTCCAGGAATAAACCTCTTGTGATAAGAAGCAGGCAGCAGGTGCGGGAGGTTGGCTGTTTGTGCAGAGCCACATTACAACTAGGTTACTAAGCCGGGTGCGAAGGCACATGCCTGCAGTCCCAGCTACTTGGGAGGCTGAGGCGGGAGGATTGCTTGAGTCCAGGAGTTCAAGTCCAGGCTGGGCAACATAGTGAGACCCTGTTTCTAAAAAAAAAACCCAGGATACCAGAAACGTGGCAAAGGGGGTGTGTGTTAATAGCCCTCAGTGTTGGGAGTGAAAGTGTTGGTGGGCAGAGAGGGTGGGGAGCTCGTAGACTTCGAACAGAGCTAGGGTGAACTCGCATCCTTTTTATGGGTAAACGTCAGGCTTGGACAGTTTTCCCATTCAAAGGGAAGTACCTGAGGAGAACTAGCAGCATAAAGGATAGAGACAGCATTAAAAATACAAAGGAAGAACATTCTATTGAGAACTATTATTATAGGAAATAGCTATTTAAAACAAATCAGGAATGCTTGACTTTTCCAAAAGTAAATAATGAAGATATATGAGATAAGCCACCTGAAAGGAAATTTTGAAAATTGCATAGAAAAGGGGGATTTTGAAAGAAGCAAAACTTCAACTTTAGAATTAAAATTAGGATTTTGTGGTGGTACAGAGCAGAACAAATAGTATGTAATCTAAAGTATTTCTCCCTCTCTCTCTCTCTGTCTCTCCATATATATATGAATAGTACAAAGCCATTATGTAGAGGACTAACTTGAGATGACGTCCTAAGATGCAGAAGGACAGACATAGAAAGGTAACAAGAAATGACACAGATGAACAATGTGCACCCAACGTGTTAGGGTCCTCCAGGGAGAACCAATAGGATATGCACAATCGTGCGCCACACACCAGCAGACTGCATGTAGACAGCGGTCCTGTGAGGTTATAATGGAGTTGAAAACTACCACCACCATCTTACTGTGGCCACCATGAGGTCACAGCACAACGCGTTACGTGTGTGGTGATGCTCGTGTAAGCAAACCTGCACTGCCAGTCACGTAAGAATGCAGCACATGCAATTACATGCCGTACGTGATACTTGACGGTGATGGTAAACGACTGTGTTACCGATTACGTAGTTGCTTTTTATCATCAGTTAAAAGTACATTTCCTCTACTTACATATGTCTCGTGTGTGTGTGTGTGTGTGTGTGTGTGTGTGTGTATGAAGCGAACTGTAAAACAGCCTCAGGCAGGTCCTTCAGGAGGTGTTCCAGAAGGAGGCAGTGCCATCATAGGAGATGGCAGCTCCCTGTGTGTTATTGCCCCTGAAGACCTTCCAGTGGGTCTAGATGTGGAGGTGGAAGACTGATAGTATTGATCCCACCCTGTGTAGGCCTAGGCTAATGTGTGTGTTTGTGTCTTAGTTTTTAACAGAAAAGTTTTTTAAGAAGCCTTTTTTTAAATAGAAAAAACCTTATAGAATAATGATAAAAAGAAAGAAAATATTTCTGTACAGCTGTACAATGTGTGGTTTTTTTGTTGTTATTTTTTGTTTTGAGACAAGAGTCTTGCTCTGTCACCTGGGCTAGAATGCCGCGGCATCAGCCTACCTCACAGCAACCTCAAACTCCTGGGCTCAAACAATTCTCCTGCCTCAGCCTCCCAAGTAGCTGGAACTACAGGCATGTGTCGCCACACCCGGCTGATTTTTCTGTTTTTAGTAGAGACAGGGTCTTGCTCTTGCTCAGGCTGGTCTTGAACTTCTGACCTCAAGTGATCCTCCCGCCTCAGCCTCCCAGTGCTAGGATTACAGGCTGAGCCACCGTGCCCGGCCTACAATGTGTGTTTTAAGCTAAGTGGTATTACAAAAGAGTCAAAAAGTTAAAAAATTTTGAAAGTAAAAAAGTTACAGGAAGCTAAGCTTAATAGAATATTTTTAAAATTTAGTGCAGCCTAAGTGTAGAGCATTTATAAAGTCTGTAGTAGTGCACAGTAATGTCCTGGGCCTTCACATTCACTCACCACTCACTGTCTCACCCAGGGCAGCTTCCAGTCCGGCAAGCTTCGTTCACGGTAAGTCCCCTGTATTGGCATACCATTTATCATCTTTTATGCTGTATGTTCACTGTATTTTTTCTACATTTAGATATGTTTGGATACACAAATACTTACCATAGTGTTATAGTTACCTATAGTACTCAGTACGGTATCACACTGTACAAGGTTTGCAGCCCAGGAGCAATAGGCTGTACTATACCTAGGTGTGTAGTGGGCTGTGCCATCTAGATTTGTGTGAGTACACTCTGTGATGTTTGCACAATGGCAAAATTACCTAAGGACGCATTTCTCAGAACGCACCCCTGTTGTTAAGCCATGCATGACTGTATTATCTCTCTATGTACATGACTTAGGGAAATTGGCTTACATGGTCACGGAGGCCGAAAAGTCCCACAACAGGCCATCTGCAAGCTGGAGACCCTGGGTTGCCAGTAGCGTGGCTTAGTCCAAGTCCAAAAGGCGCAGAACCAGGGAAGCTGATGGTGTAACTGTCAGTTCTAGGCTGAAGGCCCAAGAGCCCAGGGAGAAAGAGGGGAGTGGAGATGGGTCACTGGTGTTAAGTCTTGACGTCTGAAGGCTGGAGAGCCTGGAGTTGGGATGTCCTAGGGCAGGAGAGGAAGGGTGTGCCAGCTACAGGAGAGAGAGAATTCAGCTTCTCTCCACCTTGTTTTTCTTTTCTTCTTCCTCTTTCTTCTTTTCTTTTTCTTCCTTTTCTTCTTTCTTTCTTCCTTCTTCTTCCTTCTCCTCCTCCTTTGTCTTTATCTTCCTTTTTTTTTTAAAGACAGAGGTCTCATTATTTTGCCCAGGCTGGCCTCGAGCTCCTAGGCTCAAGCGATTCTCCTGCCTCAGCCTCCTGCGTAGCTGGGACTACAGGCACCTGCCACTGCACCTGGCTTCCACCTTACCATTCTGTCCAGGCCCCCAGTTGATGGATGGTGCCTGCCCACATTGAGGGAGAATCTCCCCACTCAGTCCATCGACTCATGCTGATTTCCTCTGGAAACGCCTTCACAGACACCCAGAAGTAACGCTTTGCCAGCTCTCTAGGTATCCCTTTGTCAGTCTGGCTCCCATATACATCTCCTGAAACCATACTTAATCTCCAAATAGAGGCAACAATGTCATGGTTTCACCTAAAATGATACAACTAGTGCATTTAGTAGAACTGAAAATGCACTAATCTCTTTCCAAAAAGAGGAGGTGACGTCCTTGGTGATGGGTACTTTTCTGATATCTCATAACTTAAATACCATGTTGTATAATTAACAATACTTAAATACTGACATAAAGTCAATCTTATGTTACATGATAAAGGAATAAGGGGAACAAAACCAAATACGTGTGCCTTGTATATATACGCAGAAATGTATTAACACAATAGGAACTACTCATGACAAGGGCAGTCCTCGTTTCTGTAACTGGTCATGTGGTCGTAG